CTCCCCCTCTCTGCTTTTGAATCAAAATGGCAATAATTTTTTTTAAGTTAAAAAAAGAGATAGCCCATCATAGCTTTTGTTATTTAGAAGAGTTAGATATTTAGTAAGCCTTCCTTTTGAGTGAAATTTTTAGAAGTTCATTTGAGTTTTGAGGAGACTTGAATGCCCTGGAAGCATTTGGTTATTTCCAGTACTTCTTGTTGATTGATGTGGTCTACACTATTGTGGGCCACTGTTTGCTGTGTTAAACCTGAAAGAAAGGAACTGTAAAGTATGTTCAAGTAGGAAGGAGACTAATATATTGTATAATTGTTTCTGTAGAAATGCAACTTAAAAAAATAGCTAGAAAAATAGTTTTTAATTGAATTCCATCATATCTTTCTTTACTAGAAAGAAGGAAAGACATATAAATCTCATCTCCCAAATGGGGTGTTCTCCTGTGAGTTGATGCCAACGCTAGAAAGAAAGTTGGAGGGGCCATTGTAGGTTGAGTTTCCCAGTTGTGTTTTAGAGTGATTTCGGTTCTGGTTCAATCCTGAACGGACACTCTCATGGTCTCCATCCACAAAGGCCCATTTATATCCTAAAGGGACATAAAAAGGAAGACATAAAGGAAATTTGCTTGTGATCTGTTTCTGTTTAGTTGCCTGAATTAAAACAGACTCTTACCAGGCAAATGTCCCTTGTAAGTTTCTGGCTTAAAACAATTATGGTAATTTATTTGTGATATAATTCATGGCTGACAGACCAGTTACCTAAAATTTTATTTACTAACAAATATTTCTTTTTATTCCCTTAATAATAAGGAGTGGCCTTATACTTATTAAGTGTGTTTATTGTCATTATTTATTTTGTTTTATGAATATGCCATTGGCTATGTAAGTTGGTTCTTTTTTAAAGAAAAAAAAAAGATTTCTTTATTTTTACTGCAAGGCTAGGTTTACAGAGAAAAGGAGAGACAGAAAAGGATGTTTCATCTGCTGGTTCACTCCCCAAGTGGCTGTAATAACTGGAGCTGAGCTGATCCGAAGCCAGGAGCTTCTCCCAAGTGTCTGAAATGGTGCAGGGTCCCAGGGACTTGTGCCGTCCTCCACTACTTTTCCAACTCATAAACAGAGACCTGGACGGGAAGTGGAACAGCCAGGGCATGAACCAGTGCCCTGGGATTCTGTCGTTTGGAGGAGTAGCCAATTGAGCCGTCATGCCAGACCTTACAAGGTGGTTCTTCACATCTAAAAATGATTTCCTCACTGACTTTTCCAAATGTTTAGCTTTTCAGTTGATGAAATGTTCATAAGGCTTTGAGGTGGTGAGAAGAGTTGGCTTGGGAAACATCCTCAGTGGTGTCTGAGTTTAGCAGAATCGCTGGTGCAACAGGAAGAGAGGTGGTTCATTTTCTAGAACTTTGATGGTAAATGTTCTCTGTTCAGAAAGGAGACATGTTTTTCATATTGAAGATGAAAGCTGCCATTTTTTGTTTTATATAATACGCTTGAATCCAGATAAAAATTTGAATATGATACTAAAATATTGTTATGTTGAGATTCAGTTTTATCCATATCTGCTCATATAAGATGCTGAGTTAATACATCATACTCATATTTAAACCTTGAAATCCAGAGCAGACACTGTTCAAGTACTTCTTGAGATAAATGACAGCACTCTGCCTGACTCCGTGTCCTAAGATGGATGACCCTTCCAATAGCTATTTTTTATGTTAGATACTAATGAGTATTATTGAGTCACAGACTAATTCCAAAGAACATTTCAGTGAATTATAATTGGGGCTGTGACTCACTGAGCGTGAGGACTGACAGGCTGTTCCTTGCTCTGTAATGGATGTGTGAGCAAAGGGAGGCACCCTGGTGACCAGCCTTGGCTTAATGCAGAGCACAAGATGCTGGCAGAGTCCAAAGCATAATGCAGCCTAAGTAGAGCATTAGTTTTGTCAGTCATTTATGCATATTGCTTTTATTAAAGATGGCAGGGAAATGTGGAGTACCACAAAACTTTGGAAGGGGAGTGTCTTGTCTGCAGCCCATTCTGGTTTTCAGTGTATTGAAGAGTCATCCATCACAGCTATTCCCTGGTGTTAAATGGTTCATTACAGTCAGTGAACCACAAAATAGTCTAGGAAGGAGGACAGAATTGAGAATCATGTGCCAGATGCACAGGCCATATCAGTGACTATTCCTAGAAAGGCAAAATCTGTCTGATTGTATTCGTGTGTTTTATTGGAAGGTTGGATGTGTTTATCTACCTGTGTTCTTGAACTCTCTAGAGGGAAGAAGGTAACACGTAAATAGGAAAGAGTGAGTCTGAATAGACCCACAGACGCTTGAGGAGTCGTTCTTGGACAAAAATTGAGTTTGAAAACTCCTACATTGTTTTCTTTGTTTATCTTCTTTCCTACATCATTAGTGCAAATGTATTGTTGCCATGAAATTTGCTTTTTAAAATGTTTGGCACACATGCATGCACACACATTATCCTATTTCAAGATAAAATGTGTCGGAAAACGCCAGTGCTTTGCAAAGCAGTTCATTACCTCTCTATTTGCTTCATGCATTCCTGAATCTACAAAACCCCTGAGCTTCAATTCTTCATCCTTTATGCTGTTTATAAACTCCCTTCCTTGTAGTCTTTGTGTCAGATTTGGACACAGCAGACATGTTTCTGTAAGTCATCTTTTCCCATGGCAGCTGTGAGTTTCTACCGTGTCTCCAGCTCTCCCTTCTCAACCTCTTTCCTCAGCTCTCTTCTCCGTCCAGCTGAAGTGCAGTCACTAACAGGCTTGATCTTGATTCTGTTTCTTCTGCACTTTCTAAGGAGCCACGTCTTTCTTCTTGAAACTTCCCTTCCCTCCAGCCTTTTACTTTTTTTTTTTTTTTTTTTTTTTTAGTTTTTATTCCTTCTTTATCATTGCTTTTCTCCAAATATACCTTGGGCCCTCGCACCTCTCTCCTTCATGCTTGCACTTAACTGTGTTTCTCGATCAGTCTGCAAATTCTGGTTTGTTGTCGTTGTTGGCGGTGATGGTGGTGGCCAGGTAGAAAGCCATAATAATTGATGAAGTACCAGAAGGCACCAAAGATTGGTAAAAATTCTAGCCAGTTAATATATTTCAGCAATACTTACAGCCCTCTTCACATTTGCCTACAATTATTATTTTTAAATATGCACCCACTGCCATTAGGCTGTAATCTCCTCAGAAGCAAGGTTCTCATTTTCAATGCTGGCATAATAAATATGAACCGGACTCCATTCATTGAAATAATCGCTAAGTTGAGCCAGGAGAAACGTTTGTTACAGCTTCCTCAGAGTCCTCATTCTTATTTCAAAATAAATTGGGAGCATGGTATTTGTGGGGTTACTGTCTCTGGCCTGTAAAGGTTTTTTATTTGTATCTAGATGTGTAACTCCAAGTGAGCTTAATATCACACCATCTGAGAAAGCAGGCTGCCATAGTGATATGGGAAATAGCAAACATTCCTGTTCCTTGGCCTTTCGAAGCTGAAAAAGAGAGGTAGCTTCTGTTTGCTTGGAGCTTCCCATTGATGGTTTTCTGCTTTGCCTACCAATCAGATTGCATTATTTACCTTATTTAAAAGGGCCCATCTGAACATGTTTCCTCTTTTGAATTATGCTTGGGTATTAGTTCTCTCCTTCAGGATACACTGATAAAGTTTTCTGAAGTTTTAGGAACTGTTTGCTGAAGTTTGTAAAGTGTTTATCATAATAGAGATCATAATTGCCTGGTTGGTAGAAGAGACTAAATCATTTCTGGGGATATTTTTCAAATCCTGAAAAATTACAGTATTAAAAAATACTTTACCTGTTTTTGAATCCTTTCCACATGCTGTACATTTTATAGGAAATAAGAAGATGACACTGATAGGGATTCTTTCATGAGCTATTGAGCAGTGTTCGCTTTGCTGTGTGATTCATGGGCAGTGGCCTTGAGTCTTTATAGGTGAATCTGGAAAGCAGGTTTTGCATTATGCGCATGCACATGCTTAGCCATCAGAATGCTCGAGGGAGCCTGTGATTTGGGGAAATACACAGTCTTAGATCTTGACCTTTCAGTCTAGAAACTTCCACACAGCCTACTCAGGAGTGGTTTCAGGGTCCTACAAAATTAAGCCTTTAGGCTAGAAACATTCACCTGCTTGGATTGTTGTTTGTTTTTTGTCTTGGGTTGTTCTTTCACACAGACCCTAAAGATCACTTGGATCTACTCAGTTCACCCATGACTTCCCTCTGTTTTTTTTTTTCTCCTTTTACTCATAATGAAAAATTTGTCTCTTTGCTTGCAAGGCAGCCTCAAGTAGTGACCCGCCTTGGAAAGATTAGCGTTCTTAATGTATTTCCTCTTCCTGTGACAGACATGACACTGCTTTCTGACAGTCACTGTCAATTAAGTATTCAGAGCTTATGAAGTGCTGAGCAACATGGAGAATTTTCAGGACCAGTGAAGGACATGAAATGAATGCTAATGCTCTCTTGTCCTAATGAGATGCTCCATTGCGGCTGGGGCAGACCTGGGATTGTAGAAGATGGGGTGTCCCTGGCTCATTACTTTCCCTAACGTTGTCTGACAGTCATCCTGAAAGGACTTAGGAGGAAGTACAGGGTCTATTTCCTGTGAGTTTAATAACGGAGGCATTTTTGATTCATCCAAATGGCTCCCGAATTCTAAGGGAGAGATGGAAAATACCCACACCTAATATTTTAAATTTCCAAAGGAATTTTGTAACAATGACTCTAAACCTTTTAGAAGCTGAATTTTATTTGCTAACCAGCGTTGCACAGACTTCTCAAAAGTGCACTCTCGAAGTCAGAATTCTGCATGTCACCTGCTTCCCCTGCTATACAGCCTTGTGTGTCCTGATCATCTTGAGCTGTTCTGCAAACAGAAGCATGCTTCCTCTCTCGTAAGCACCACTCCATTCCAGGAAAATAAAAAAAAAAAAAAAAAAACATGTTGCCTTCCATTCTAGCGAGTCACCAGCTTATAAACCACATCAACCAGTTTCTGGAAACGAATGAAACGCCGTATTTTATGAAGAGCATCGACTGCATCAAAGCCTTCCGGGAGAAAGCCATCCAGGTAGGCCGTCCTCAGCATCTCGTCTTCCTGGAAGGTGGCTGGCTGTCACAGCGAGTGCCAGACAGCAGCCCGTGGACACGTGCGGCCTTGGGCAGAGCCATGTGTGCCGAGGGCAGCAGGCATGGCGAAGCTCGGCTTGCTGTTGTCGTTTCTAGAGGAGAATTAAGGTGCATGATGGAATTCTTTTTTTCTCTCCCTTAGGACTTATGTTTTTATAGCATTAAAGCTATGGATTTATGTTCCTATTTAGGGAACCAAAGAAATCCTTAGTGACATCTTTAGTGGCTCTGTCATTGCTGTCAAGACTGGACTGATTATTCTAGGGAAATTGGTATAAATATTAAGAATATTATTAGAACAGGAGTAGGGATCTGTATGCCAGAAAAAAGGAAAAATCAAGAGCACTGAAAATTAGTTACTCAGCTTCCCCCGCCAAGTTTTTAGATGGGTTCTGTTGTCTGTTTTATTAGGAACTTTTAGAAAACACTTCTAAAAATCTTGTGAATTTGCAGACTTTTAAAACTCCACATCAGAAGTGAGCAGGTTTCAACCAGAAAGTATGTTTTTAAATTATGCAGTTATAGTGTATACTCTTGGATGTATGTTAATTAATTATTTTCTGAACAAATGAACAGATTAATGCTTGAATAATTTGCACATTTATAAAAAATGGCCAAAACACGAGAAGATCATTAAAATTAGGTTAGAATAAAAGTATTCTACAGCTAAAAGACTAAGCCTTAGAAAAGTAGCATCCAGGCAAGGGTGAGAGCGTCCTGGTCAGGTGGAAAGTCAGGCAGCTAAAGACAGGCAGGGAAAGTGTGTGGCTTGCTGGAGCACTGCCCCTGGTGGGGGTGGGGGAGGTGTCTGAGAACCCCACTGCTCCCAGTTGCCACTGCCTTGCACTAAGGACCAGCTGCTCTTTAGCAAGGAGCTAGAGACTTCAGAGAGTAGTTCTTAAAAGATGGACCTTGCTTAAACCGTAAGCTTCTTTTCTCTCTTTTTTTTTTTTTAAGAGGAAGAGGTTTTTTTACAGAATGGTTATGAAAATATGCACTGACTAGTTATTTGCTTCCAAGAAATTATTATTGATTTTTTTGGTGTGGTAAGTATAATGGCACATAAGTACATTTTCTTTTTTCAAGATTTTTTTTATTATTTGAAAGGCATATTTACAGAGAAGAGATAGTGAGGTCTCCAACCTCTGGGTTCAGTCCCCACATGGCTGCGACAACCAGAGCTGAGCTGAATGGAAGCTGGAAACCAGGAGCTTCCTTGGGGTCTCCCGTGTGGGCGCAGAGTCCCAAGGCTTTGGGCCATCCTCCAGTGCTTTCCCAGGCTCAAGCAGGGAGTTGAATGGGAAGTGGAACATCTGGGACACAAACTAGTGCTCGTTTGGCATACTGATGCCACAGGGTAGAGAATTAACCCATTGAGCCACTATGCCAGCCCCAAGTATATTTTCTTTAAAAAGAATATACATTGTAGATACTATATATCAAAATGTATTCAATGAAATACTTTGATTGAAATTTACTTAAAAATAAATGATAAATATGCAAAACAGAGTGGATCGAGATGATGGATACACGAATTTTTTTTTAATTATTCTGTTTTCATTGAAACTGTCTATAATAAAAGTTAAGATTCCAGGCCACCAAAAACAAAGAAGGTATTTCGAGGAAACTCTTTGACTTCTACAAATGGAAAATCCCGCCAAAGCGGAATCGAAAATGCCAGCTTCTGAGGCGCTGTTTGACCTGGTGGTTAACACACTGCTTGGGGCCCAGGTCCTGGGTCGGAGTGCTGGTGTGAATCCAGTCTCTGCTTCCAATTCCAGCTTCCTGCTCATGCATATCCTGGGAGGCAGCAACTGATGACCTAAGGACATGGGCGACTCAGCCTGGCTTCCAGACTCCAGGCTTGAGCAGGGCCCAGCCCCAGCTGCTGTCAGCATTCAGAGAGTGAATGATGGCAGACTCTCTTAGCTTTCAAGTCAATAAATGAAATGTTTTAAGAAATTAAATGATGGTTTTCCGCTTATGAAAGAAGAAACTTTTTGGTAAATACGGTGGATTCAAAATATAAAGCATTTCCCAAGTAAAAGGATGACTCCCAATAAAACTGTTAAATATTATCTTTACAGTAGGATGCTGGACCTTCTATCATTGTCTGTACCTACATGACACACTTAAGTATCAGAATGATGACTGTTGCCAAAGGGCTGCACTGTGTAATAATGTGGGGAAAACAGTATGTGGACTTGGAAGGTAGAAGGGGCACCCTCTGTGCGACTGTGTCAGGAAAAATAAAAATATATATAATAAAAATATGGAGAGCAGCTCAGTGTAGGTTTGAATTTGTGTTTGTTCTGACTTGCCACTCCTGTGCCCCTCTTACTTCCACAGTTTTCAGAAGAGCAGCGCTTTAATAATTTCCTGAAAGACCTTCGAGAGAAAGTGGAAATTAAACAATTAAATCATTTCTGGGAAATTGTCATTCAAGGTCAGGTATCACTTTCGGTTTTTTAAAATATATATATTTTAATATATATTACATATACTTACATATATACATATTTCATATATATATATAAATTCCAGATTTAAATTGTATTATATGATATATGAGGCCTAATGAAATTGTAATTGACTTTAGAACATGGTTGGGATTCATTGAGCTCTCAATCTTACTTAGCTGACATACACACAGGGTGAAAAATGGTACGCCCAATCTTACACTTGGTACAGTATGACCCATCTCCAAGAGTGCTTCTTTCTCTTTGTTGGATCAGTTAAAGTTAACCCTTTTCCCAAACTCTCAGGGCTGTCAGTCGTGGCAGATCCACAGCACTTACTTTATGCCCTCGTGCACTGTCCCGTGCTGTGTTCTTAAACTGTCCATATAACTAGGCCAATATCTGCATGTACCAAAGCCTCTTGGTTCTTTACTTAGTCACAATGGATATTAAACACAGGAAGGAGACAACACTCTTCAGTGTCTCACATGATGCTTGCTTTCCTTCATGTCCCTTGACCATTTTTTTTAGCATGATCTAAAATTCTTTCAGTACTCAAGTACTAAGTAATGCTTTTTTAAAATCTGCATTGTGGGGCCCGGCGCGGTGGCGCAAGTGGTTAAAGGTCCTCGCCTTGCATGCCCGGGATCCCATATGGGTGCCGGTTCTAATCCCGGCAGCCCCGCTTCCCTTCCAGCTCCCTGCCTGTGGCCTGGGAAGGCAGTCGAGGACGGCCCAAAGCTTTGGGACCCTGCACCCGCGTGGGAGACCCAGAAGAGGCTCCTGGCTTCGGATCGGCATAGTATCGGCCCGTTGCGCTCACTTGGGGAGTGAATCATCGGACGGAAGATCTTCCTCTCTGTCTCTCCTCTCTGTATATCCGCCTTTCCAATAAAAAAATAATAAAAATAAATCTTTAAAATCTGCATTGTGAAAATAATTATGATTAGATAGCGATATGAAACTTTCCACGTATGGAAGAGATGCAAAATGAGTTTCAGTCTATGTTTCTGTGTAGATTCCAAATAAAGGGAGTTACATATCTATTCTTCCAACTTTTAAAGATTTTTTTTTTTTTATTATTTTTTTATTGGAAAGGCAGATATACAGAGAGGAGAGACAGAGAGGAAGATCTTCCGTCCGATGATTCACTCCCCAAGTGAGCGCAACAGGCCGATACTATGCCAATCCGAAGCCAGGAGCCTCCTCCGGGTCTCCCACGCGGGTGCAGGTTCCCAAAGCCCTGGGCCGTCCCCGACTGCTTTCCCGGGCCACAGGCAGGGAGCTGGAAGGGAAGCGGGGCTGCCGGGATTAGAACCGGCGCCCATATGGGATCCCGGGCGTGCAAGGCGAGGACCTTTAACCACTTGCGCCACCGCGCCGGGCCCTATTCTTCCAACTTTTAACCGGCAGCTTTTCATCACACACACCACCATTTCCCTGACAGTTAATTTTTCAGCCATTTAACTGCTACAGTGGAGAAGCAAAAGCAATAAGAATTGTGCTCAAATCACTTTTGTGTCTCTGCTGCCAAGCTGGTAGATGAAAGGGATTGGATTTGGTATTTACCGATTGCCTATAGCGTATTAGTTACTGGAAGGAGCTTGCAAAACATACACAAGATACATATTTTCTGAGAACTTACATGCTGTTGAGAAAATATACATGACTTGTGCCATTTCCAAGTGCAAACAGTTGGTAAACTCATGTGCCTTTCTGAAAGTATATTGTGCAACAAACATTTAAGGTAGGAAAATACTTTAGGAATAGAAGGGAGCTAAAGAGAAGGTTTTCTGTCCTTGATTTGCTCTCACTGAGCTGAAATGGACACACTGTGCTGAATGACAGAACTTTCTCCCTGCCCACCTAGTCCCCTGGCCATTCCAGTAGCCAGTAGCTGCTGTAAGTCACAGTGTGCTGGTGTGCAGCTTTCTGTTAGCTATCCAAGGGGTTGGACAGGAGTGTGCACCCATTCAATTGCTTATTTAGTGACCTTCGACGGTATGCGGTGTTGGGGAATGCAAAAATGAATAAGACCTAGTCCAGTCCTTGAAGGTGTTGTCCATAGGAGAGATAATGTGTACAAATAATTACACAAGATAATTAAAACAGCAGAATCTGAGAATTCTAAAGAAAGGGTCCCTGTTTTCATCTGAATCGAGAAAGGCTTCATGGAACAGGTGACATTTAGGGTATTGCCTTTATTGCTGATTGTACAAGCCAAAACAGGAGAGAATCCCGCATAAGAAAGTAAACCCATGAACTCATTGCATTTGCTGTTTTGTATGTTTTCTAGAACTGAACACCTTTATTATTTTTAAAAGTCTCCAGCAGAGGGGTGGGAGCAAGGGTGGAGACAAAGAAAATGGAATCGGATTGATTCTTTGTGTCTGCATTGTTCTCTGTGAATTGCATTTCAGATGGAATTACTCTGATCAGCAAAGATGAAGCCTGTGGAAGCTCTGTCACAGCTGAGGAAGCCAAACAGGTATTGAGGGACAATTCCCTGTCTGAGTAACTTACTGCAGTGAACATTAGCTTCTCCATCTCCTTGAAGTTTAATTTTAAGGTGATATATCCATGGTTTATTCAGCCTGCAAGCAAATGGCGTCAACTGCAGCATCCTCATGGGAGGTATTAATGTCTTACTCAGTTTCGCTTAGGCTGTGATTATGTTTCTAGCATTCACTAGCAAGTCCGTGTCCAGTAGCTCTGGAGCTGCTGGACTCTGATGCATACAGGTTTAGAATTGTTCCTGGTAAGGGCTGTGAAATCCATTCAGCCCAGTGATTCCCACGCTGACCACACATTGGCCACCTGGGAGCTGTTATTATTAACAACTGGTTAATAAGAGATTTTTTTTTTTGCATTTTATGTCAGTATTTTATTTATTTTTTAAATTTTTTATATCCTTAGAGATTCTGATGATCTGATATGGGTCCTGGCATGAAGGCCTTGATTCATTTTTAAAGCCTTTCAGGTGATAATGCACTGTTTGTAGAGGAACAAGTATTCTAGCATAATCCACACCCAAGGGCTTCAGTAAAGACCCCATGAGCTTCTTGACATACATTGTTAACCCAAGGCCTCCCTGCGTGGTATATGAGTATAGAATCTGATTCAGCTGTGAGTAAAATGCTCATACATGTAGTTATTTATAACTGTGCACCTGACCTTTATGATCCTTCAAAGCTGTACTGACATCTTAATGGAATTAAATTGAACCGCTCAAAAGTATACAGTTCCTAACACTCACTGTCAGGCACTGAGAAGGCCTGTCTTGCAAGCATGGTCCCTGGCCCCAGTCAGTAACCAAGGTCTGTGCTGGATGGAAGGATGGCACCACCACCGCCACCCCATTCTGGAAGCTCTAGTGTTCATTACTCAGGAGCACAGATAGGCAATGAGAACCAGGAATTCACTTCACCTGCCAGGGGACTGCTGTGTCTGTGTTTAGTACACAGGAATCTGTCAGGGAATGGCATGGACAAGGTGGTAATGTTTGTCATAGGTGAAACTCAGGCCCGATAGGAAAATGCCACAGTGCCATAAATTTTCAACATAATGATAACAGAATTTGGTAGAGAACATAGTATTGTTTGGAAAAGACATTAGAATACATAAGAATGTTTGCTAAGCCTTTTAGCTAATTGAGAGTTTCTGTTAAAGAACAGGTATAATCCCTACATTCAGGGAATAAGATCTACAATTTTAGAAGCATCCTATAAGGTACTGAAGAGGGTCTCTGAAGACATTTCACAGCGTCTGTATCCTCTTCTACCATGATGGGCTTGAGTAGGTCATGAAATTGTTGAGCTTTGTTTCTGTTTTTGCCCCCTTATGTTGTGATAACTTTCCACTCTTGAACTGAAATGTATTAATCACATTCTTTAGAGAAACAAATACAATATCTATCTATCTATATACACATCACATACATATGTATATACACACACATACATAGCAATAGTATGTTTATGTTACATAAACATGTGAGAAAGAGGCGAGTGCTTATTTCCAGTATTCTAAATAGGCACCGCAGCCTAGTCATGTTGGGCCACAAATATTAACAATCAAATAGACTGATGCTTACCAACTTTTGGAAAACAGGTGAAACAAGTCGAGATCAATTATTTAATTTTAGTCAGTGTACATTTAAGGAAGCCTCTATCCAGTAGAGAGCTGGGTACATCTTATAGTTGTTGAAGGAAGCAGGAAGCACTGTGGTAAGAAAGAACTGTTTCCCATTATAATGCTCTTAGCCCAATAGGTCAACACTAAGTGAATCCAGAATATTGGAAAATAAAGAAATCTGAAAAGGGAAAATCCACTTGCAAATTGTGCAAGGAATGTTCTGTATTATAAATGCAGTGTCATCTTTAGAATCAAAAGACACAAAGCCCACGCATCATTGGTTTGAATGGCTGATAATTAAGCTGTGCAGAGAAATTGCAAGTAATGGCCAGATATGAAGTAGTATCCTTACCTCTAGTACCTTCTGTACTTCAGTTACAGAAACTTCATCATCTTTGAATAAGGAGGACAAGTGATGAGACGTCCTTCTACTCCCCCCATTGGCTGCCTGGCCCTGGCTGATGTTTTCATAATTGAAGCACAGTAATACCACCAAAGCTTCACTGTCCCTGACAGATAAGAAATTTAAACCTTTACCTGAAATGTACTGAGTTCTAGGTCTGTGCTGTACATATTTTTATACATTATCTCCTACGTAGCTCCCCCCCCCCAAAAAAAAAACAGTATGCTACACATTAACTGTGCATACTTTTTCACATTTAGGAATGCTATTTATATGACACTTTGACTTCTAAAAAAATCCATATTATGTTGCTACTCACCTGAAACACTGTGTACATTATGTATGATAGTGATAACTTAACTCAAGAACTTAAAAGGCCGGCACTATCTCTGCAGTCCTTCCAGTGTTCTGCCAGGAATGGGCAGGAGCAAGAACAGCCACTCCTCTTTCCCTGGAGAGCCAGGCCCGAAAAATCAAGAGGAATATACTGAGCCCTCACAGGCAGCAAGGATCAAAACGCTGCTGCCTGGACATTGCACTGATCTTTGTCCCTCATAAGATTAAGTCTTGGGCCCAGCAGGGTAGCCTAGCGACTAAAGTCCTTCCCTTGCATAAGCTGAGATCCCAAATGGGCACTGGTTCTAATCCCAGCAGCCCCGCTTCCCATCCAACTCCCTGCCTGTGGCCTGGGAAAGTAGTTGAGTATAGCCCAAAACTTTGGGACCCTGCAGCCACATGGGAGACTCGGCGGAGGCTCTGGACTCCTGGCTTTGGATCAGTGCAGCTCTGGCAGTTGTGGCCACTTGAGGAGTGAATCAGTAGACAGAAGGTCCACCTCTCTGTATATCTGACTTTCCAATAAAAATAAATAAAGATTTAAACAAACAAAAAAAGAGGTAAGTCTTACAAACGGAACCTTAAACCAATATTCTGTGAAACACATTAGAGCCCATCTGCCTATTCTCCACGAGTGACCCTCTGGTCCATAGCCAGCTGGTGGGTGGAAGGACCTGAAGACCACAGGGTCGAGTCTCAATTCCAGTTTGCCTTCAGCACACACTCTGTCCTGTCTGACGTTCAAGGTTATGCCTTTGTGCCTGTTTTCATATCACAATGAGAGAGACACATTTCAGGTATGTTTTAGCCAGATCAGGGAAGTGTAATCACTTTTGCAACCATACACTGAAATGTTCATTTACATTACCTTCAAGTGTCAAGTTGGATCACAGCCCAAATAATCATTTCAGGGAACTTGATTATAATCAGTGCTCACAGTCCATTTAAATTCTTTTAAGGCATTTACTGTAAGTTGTTTAAAGTTAGTAAGCAGTCAAATTATTGCTATTTCCTTTCCTATATGTTAATATTTGAAAGGAAATAATTATCCAGGGTTGTCCATCTTAAATAAAAATTAAATTATAACTTTACACTAGAACAACATCTTAAGGAGAGCTATTCTCCAGTGTGTTCTAAAACTATGCAGTTTTTGTGAGTCTTTGAGAGATAGGAATAAGTCAGCTGTGCTGCAGAAATAGAAATTTCATCCATGACGTGATTATAAATTTCATCCATGAGTATAAATTAGTCACTTTCTTTTTAAGTTTTTTTTTTTTTGCTCTCATCTCATTTTGAAAGCTAGACATGCTTGTAGCCCCCTCTTTTATATTCATTTTAATTGTCAGTATAGCCTTTCAGCTCTTTCACTCAGCGTTTTGTGTTTCCAGTTGGGATCATTAGGTCATTAACATTTGAGATCCGGTGGAATCTTTGCAGGGCCCTGGGGTGTCTCATCCATGAGCTCCTTCCCCCGCATCACTGTGAGTAGGTAGCAGAGGTAAAATCATCTCTCTGAGATCTCACAGGCAGCCACTGGCCAAGAATCCAGTTCTAAAACTGTCTTCCACTCTTACTCCGTATCAAGAACATAGTGAGTTTTTTGGCCCATTTTCCATCAGTATAACCAAATCCCACAGATTGTGTACTTTATGAAGAAGAGGCTTATTTAGCTCATTTGGGAGGATCGACAGTCCAAGATTGAGCAACTTCATCAGCTCCTCTCCTGGTGAGGCTTTGATTGCATGCAATGACAGGAACTCAGGCACCGGACAAAGGCAGTGGTGAGGCAGGAAGCCAGAGCTGAGAAAGGGGCAGGTCTCACCCCTTTTCAACAGCCCGTTGTCACAGAGCTGAGCAGGGTCCCATGAGAAACGCCTGAATCTCTTGCAAGAGCACTGCCTGGATGTGCCTTACCTTACACCGAGCTTCTGAAAAGCATCTACCACCACACAGGTTCAACACACAAACCCTTGGTAGCCAAGCCATGACATTGAAGAAAGAGAATTTTTTTTTTTTGGCATGGCTTTAAAATATTCTTTTTCACAGGATTCTGAGAGGTCCAGTTAGATATAAGTAACTAAACATTTAATGTAAGCTCTGTTGGGGAGGTGAGGAAGAGAGAGAATCATCATTTAAGCACTTGTTTTATTTGCACTGGCCTGACCTATCCTTAATGGTTGGGGCTGACTTACTGACCTTCCACCTGAGTAACAGGCACGCAGAGCTTAGCAATCTGGTCATTTTGCTGATGCCATCGCGAGTGGTGTAGGTGACTAGCACAGTGTCTCAGAGCAAACTCTGCCTGGTGGCAGTGACTGAAATCCAAACCTAGACTCCCGTACTTGCCACTTGTTGCTAATGCTTTGGTGCCATTTCTTCCTTCCTCCACCTTACATCTGTCTGAGGTAAAAGATACCCTCATGCTTGTCTCACAAATGTGCTTAAAAGAGTGCTGTGCTTGTGAGTGACCAAGGTATCCTAGAACCTTGTGAAGAATCATTTCTTGAGAGCAGCTCCCAAACTGCTGGCACCTGCTAGACTTCATGTCGTCTTCCTTTGTTCTTTTCTGCTTTCCTTTTATGCCTTAAATCTCTGTGTGGTTTTCCCATATTCTAGTCCATAAAGCAATCATGGAAATATCTCAGTATTATCCAGTCGTTTTTCAGAGTTTGGATGGATGTTGAGATGGAACATGGAAACAGTGAGTGCAGTTTCTAAGTGGCAAGCATGAGTTCCTGCATGATCACATCCTGGGGCTCCCCGGGACCCCACATGAAGATAACACAACACTGCCCTCACCCTAGAAGGCGCTGCCCCGGTCATAACTCACGAGTTACCCAAGACAATTCGTGTTGCACTTCTGACACCTAAGATTAATTTTGCCTGTTTTTGGCCTTCATGTAATTGGAATCGTATCTTTTGTGATTTATCCATTTTAGAATTAGTTATCTTTTCTTGTAGCCATGCAATATTTTTTTGTACCACAATTTATTTGTCCACTTTCCTATAATGAACATGTTGGTGTTGTCAGAGTTTGGCAGTTAGAAAAGCAGGTGCTATGAATATTCTTTTTTTAATCAGCTTGGGTTTTTTTAAGATTTAATTTTTTTTTACTGGAAAGTCAGATTTACAGAGAGAAGGAGAGACAGTGAGAAGGTTCTTCAGTCTTGCTGCAGTGGCAGAAACTGAGCTGATCTGAAGCCCGGAGCTTTTTCTGGGTCTCCCACATGGGTCCTGGGTCCTAAGACTTTTGGCCATTCTCTACTGCTTTCCCAGGCTACAAGCAGGGAGCTGGATGTGGAAAGTGTAGCAATTGGGATATTAACCGGTGCCCGTATGGGATCCCTGCATGTGCAAGGCAAGGACTTTAGCTGCTAGGCTACAGCGCTGGGCCCTATGAATATTCTTGTACATATCATTTGGTAGCATAGGCTGAGGATATTTGAAAGAATTAAAACAAAAACCTTATGGCACAACAAAGCATATTTATCTTCTCTGAGATTCAGCCCCAGGTCTGAGATTCAATACCCAGGGCTGACTGGGTATTTGCACTTCAGTTTGGGGGAACATCATTATAGGAAGATCAGGGGCTTGCCCGGGTTCCTGAGAAGCTGGCAGAGCTTTGGATCTGATTGTGTTCTCCACGCTGTGATGCCGCACACTTCTCTGCTGTACTCAGTTGCCTTTACAAGGTGGAATAAGCTACACGTGGCAATCAAAATGCAGCCCACGTGTGTGTCATTGTAGGCACAGTTTAGGCAAACTGCTGTGTGTTCTTCATGACACATTTTTATGCGTGTGGATTATGACTGCCTCTGGAGTCCCCTGCTGGAGTAGGACTCGGCCTGATCGTGGCCAGATGTTCCTCATTTGGGAACAGATAAGGCACTGGGCTGATTGCTAGCATTTAATGTTGTAGAAGGACAGGGCTGGCAGTTTCTGTACAAAGATTGTTGATTCCATTTCCCTGCTTGTGGCCAGGATGATAGTTCAGCATGCTTGGAAAATAGTAGTTCGTCCATTTCGTCCAAATCTACAGGGCACAGGGATCTGCTCTGCTAATGCCTAACGTGGCTTTGAGGGAGGAGGACTGTGTCGCCCAGGTGTCCTTTGTGTTTATTCCCTACGTTTTCAGCATGTTGGAAAGGGCAGAAACATGGGAAAAGATGCGAGTTGACTCCCTCCTTTCTCCTGCATCCAGAGAAAGCAGGCCAGTCGTTGAATTCTCCGCTCTGTCACTGGCTTCCCTGTCCCTGCGCAGCCTGGAAATTACTTGCCATTAAAACTCTGATGAGGGGGAGTGATATGTGTAAGGGATCTACGTTGTCGGGAGCTCGGGGAAGGATAATGGATGGCAGCCCAGCTTTTAGCCATAATTTGCTTACACAGAAATAAGAAGCAGATCTGTCAGGAAAATCAGTTGCAGATGTTTAGCACTTGATGGAAATGAAGGGCTTTTTTCCCCCTGCTGCTCCCGTCTTCCTAGAAATATGATCTAATATCAAAGATATGCCTTTTGTATTTAATTATATGTATGGGTTATACTGTGCAGGCAGTCCTTTTTTAACATAGTCCTTAACCGCAGTGTGAAAGGGTCATTGCTAGTCGAGAGAAATTGGAGGTTTTATGGCTAAGTGCTAGAAGACATTAGGGGGCTCTGGATTCATCACCAGTCCCTAGCAGCGATCAGGCAGAAGATGGAGTATTGTTCTTAAACCGTTGAGTCCGTGAAGTCTGTCTCACATTTGGAAGATGGTGGTCATCTGTGGCCCCTCCAGGTTTAGGATAGGATACAATTCTGCTTTTTAATTATCTTTCCCCCAGTGGGACTCAACTTTTAAGAAGGTTATTCTAGACACAGGGAAAGTCATGTAGTTATGAATGTTAATGAACAGGGGATGAGAGGTCAAACATAAAGGCCATTTTTGTAGTCATAATCTGGAGGACTCTGAAGATTAATCTTGAAGTCTAGGATAGAGTACAGTTTAATTTAACCTAAGCCTAACAGATGTACTAATAATTTCAAACTCATTTATTTGTTTTCAGCCTTCAGCTATCTTTATTAATAACCATCCAGAATAAGTAAATAGATTAGTGACACAGAAGTTGCATCACAATTCTAGTCTGAACAGACCATCTGCTCCTCATTGCTAGTATTTTCTATCTCTCATGCCATTGATGAGACATTGAAGAACCCTAGAGCTAGATGGTCCTGGTGTGCTGTATAGTCAGGAATATGGAAAGATACATATGTGGCCTTAAAAGAAGATAAATTCCTTAATCTTTCAGTCCAACAGGAAGGTAATGAATTGTGAGATGATTCTGTTGAGAGAGAAATAAGCCCAAGAAAGAAGTTAATTCAACAAACCAACTATCATGGTCCTGTCCAAGTGCTGAAAAAGCCAGTGCCTGGTTATTCAAAAGTAGCCTCCACTATTGCCATTGTGTTACTGTCCTGCTACCTGAGGAATAGGTGGTTGGGCAGAGCTTGCCTGCTGGCATTTTGCTTCGTGCACGTACTTAACAAGTGCCTTTGATTTATGGTATTTTTAAAGAGACATTTATTTAGGTATCTTAGATTTCAGAGGCCTGGATCATGTCTACTTTATCCACTTTATTATAATAATCACAGCCGTTCTTACCATTTTTTTTTTCATGTTGGGAAAGTCAGAAAAGTGTGTAACTGCGCTTTTCCCTTGTGCACGGAAGCAAGCGCCTGAGAACAGAGGAGAGCGAGAAGGTTGCAGTGCAAGTTGACTCTGAGGAACACAGAGAGAGGCAGCCCCCTTTATAGTCCACCCGCACCTTGTCTCTGGAGCACTGATCTGCCAGAAGCCTGGCTTCTTGTGTTAGGCTACAGGGACATTGGTACAAGTCAGCTCTTCAATACAGGTCCCACAGGCTGCTGGTTCTTGGTGGAACAGAGTGGAAATTTCCAGAGACACTCACTACTTTGAGATGTGAAAGCCACTCCCGGATCCTTGCAGACTTCACCTCAAGGGCCTTGGCTAGTCTAGATTCCTGCCCCAGGTCTAGAACACTCAAGCTGAATGCAGGTTTTCTCTTGCATTTCTCATCTGCCTATTTCAGTTTCTTAACACAATTGAAGGATTTCCGTATAGGAATCAACCTCCCAGGTACATTCATTTTTGGGTGTTGCATCTCTTAAAAGAAGTCATCCTTTTACTTTGCCCACAAGGATAGATGATTGTAATCTCAGCCCAATTCCTATGCTTCTCTTGGGTTATTTTCGTAACCTTAGCTTCTCTGTAAGCAGAAAGAGGAGTGCCAGATGTCCACAGTGCCAGAACTGAACCTTCCACACAACCCCTGTCTTGGCCACCCGTGTCATTTCATCTCTAGAATCACAGAGATGCCCTCTGGACACTAGTTAGTTTGAAGTGTTGAACCTTGAGGTTGCCTCTGTCATCCAGAGCCAACTGAATGTGCTGAGGTGATGTGTCTTCGGGGCCATTTGTGGTAAGACTTTGTTAAGCAGACCTGTGGCAATGTTGGTACATTAGGACCATTGTCAAAGGAGGCAAAAATGTCATTTCAGTGCCATGACTGACTTTTGTTCATTCACAGTTTCTGGCCCCCAAAGAAAAACCAAGTGAAGATGCCACAGCCCTGTGTGGGGAAGGAGGTGACGTGGACGATTTAGTGAGTACTTTCACAGCACACCTGGTGCCCCGATGATTGAACTTGCCTGAGCTGTAAATACAGCCACCAAGGCTGTTGATCACAGACCTGTGCTTTATCTGTGCTTTAATTTCTAACCCACCAGATGCTCTCTGCACTGTTATTTATTGCTATTATAAATGCGATCAGGTAAGTGGTTGCTTCCTGGCAGTTCTTGTGTTCTGTGGTTTCAGCTATTGTTCATTCAGGTAATCCTCTCCTTTCAAAGAGTAAAAAAAAAAAAAAAAAAGGAAAAGAAAAAAATAAAAGAAGTAGGGAGCTATTCCTTTAGTGGAAAAATGTTATAACTTGTTGAAATCGCTGTAAACCAAAAACACCATGCAATTTGTGTGGGCTGACAAATAAAAACGGGCTTTAAAAAGCCTACTTCTTAACTGTTCTCAGTTAGCTTCATATAAACAAAAAATTCTGATAGTCCCTGGAGAATTTCTGGACATTATGATACTATGCTGTGAAACACTGGGAAGATGTTGGCTTTTGTGTCCGTCTTTTATATTTGGAAGCTTCCTGCCTTTAAGCCTCAAATGACCAACTATCCAGCAGAAAAACTATACCACAAAAAGCAAAAATATACCACAAGAACTGCCTACTAAGAAGATGTCAGGATTTGGGGGGAGAAGTTCTTGGCACTGAAATAATCCATGTGGTAGTTAATGCCTGAAATCAGTAGCAGTGAATTAGTACGTGCAAGGCCATGCATTCCTCCCTGGGTAGAGATCTCTTTCATGAAAACTTCTTTACCAGAGAAGTAGTGGTTTCAAGTTAACCTAATTTCTTTCTAAAAACATGCTTCTTGTTTACAGCTGGACATGATGTAGGTCACGAACATCTGAAGAAACCAAGAACATTGCAGCGCTGTGGAGAACAAGCTGAAAGAGGCCAGTCAAGGGGACCAGAAGTCCTGGAGAGAGCCCCAGCAGGTTACTTGTGAATGATTCAGCTGATTATCTGTGTGATATACTTACCAGCATGTTGCAAAGCATAACTCAGGCTTTTTGCAAGTTTATAAAAAGCTGTTATTTTCTGATTGGTGTTTTATTTATTTATTTATTTGTTTGTTTGTTTGTTTTGTGTGTGTGGTCTTACCATTCTCAGTGCATTGTGCACAAGCTTTGAAGTTTCTGGAGAGTAGATTTCCACCTGCATCCTGACCTGGTATTTTGATGAGGACTGTAGCCCTCATCAAGTGCTCAGCACCTCCCCCAGAACCATACCACAGTCACTGGTAAGCCTCTCAGCTCAACCCAGGAGCCATTCGTTGGCTCCTCCTCCACCATCCAGAGCTTGGGCCAAGGGAAAAATGGCTGTTGTGTCCTGACAGCAAGGAGCTGGGTTAGCAAACTCATGGGTGAGGATAGACCCTTTGCTCTTTTTGTGAAACCTTTTTCATTGTGCTGTTACTTTGACTTGGAACATGGGTGGCTTTCCTTCAACAGGATGGGAGGGGAGCAGCTGGCACCCTTAACGTCTGCTTGTAATGTTCTCATGGAGAGAGGATCTTGTTGCCCAGCTTCTGCCATATCTGTGAACCTTGAACCAAAATCAGAACCTGAGAAGTCCACTAGCAGTGGGTAGGGTTGTACCATCTTGTAGTTATGCTTGTGGGTCTCAAAGAGAGAACATTTGGTTGCATTAGAACACTTCTTTCTTAATTTTTCATTCTCTCTCATTTCTGCCTAAGTTGGCTTTTATGTTTCTGGATGTTTTCTTACCCAAAATAAGGAAATAACAGGTCCCTTATTCTCTTTGTTTCCTGTTTGCGTTGTTGAATACCTCCTCCTCCCTTGACGTCACCTATGTCCTCAGCCCAGTAAATGGTCATTGATACTTCATTTGACAAACAGAATGTTGAAGGTATAAGTGACTCTAATGACTAATTGTTTAAAAAGACTTCAGTGCTGGGCTGAGAATCCAAGCCCTTTTGTACCTTGACTAAAAAATGAATCTCCAAGACAGAACATCATTCATGCAGCTAAGATGGAAGTGTGGTTTACTTGGGGCCTCCAGGATATCCCCTTGACACTGTGCACTCAAGTCAAACTTAACACACAGGTGCCATTTAACACAACCCCAACAAAGGGTGCCAGAACATACTTTGGATGGGTCACGCTCAGTGAATCTTTGTGACATAGACAAAACTGAGACATTCTTAGGCTCACAAGGAATGACAACTTTGTTCTGTGAATTCACAGAGGCTTCTGGCAATGTGATTCAGCTCAGGCACGACGGCCGCATGAACAGCCCTGCTTTGGGCAGTTTGAATGGTTCCCTCTTGCAGGCATCCATCCATCAGGCCAGAGCAAGCTTGATCACAGTAATCCTTTAGACCTTGTGATGCTTTTTAATTTAGATTTCACGTAGAAGGGTTTGTGCTTCCCTGACCCTGCTTTTACCTAAATTATCTGAGTAACTCAAGGATGAAGGAAGCCTCCCAGGCTAGGGAGGGAGAGGACAAAATCAGCTGTGCGATTCCCAACTCCATTTTGTGTCAACACAGTGTGCACTCTGTGTAGACTCAGTCGTAGCGTACTGCTATGAGTAAGCACATCATGTTTTGTATGAACATACCAAGGTCCCATTTTCCTGAAATGTGATTTACAGATCACTGGCAGTTGCATCTGTCACTTTTCGGTCTTCTGTGTCCCTAAAATTGAGACTGACTCAACAAACAGGCAGAGATCGGAGGGCACTCACCCGCAGCCACAACCCACAAGACCCTGTGCTTCTCCAGTGCTTCCTAGATGGTGTGTGCTGCTCGCATGTTAGCAATCATGATTTTATTATTAAAAATTGAAAGTTTGCTAAAAATTATTAAGAAAATAAAAATGTGTTAGTGGTTCTGCTTGCAACAAGTTTGAGGTTATTTCACATTTTCAGAACTAGCATTATTTTAAATGTTGCATTTTAATTTTATGCTAGTTGGTTTACACATACAATTTAGAATCTTAAAAACTTTATTGGAAGACTATCTTGGGGATCAGGCAGTTTTTTAGCCTGTCCAGAACGGATTTGAAAATAGATGGACACAGCTCTCTCCTTCTATTTTGAATGTATGCAGTGCTAATCACTGACTTTGCAGCTAATTTTGCTTCAGTACCAGACACTCTATTTAGTCCACCCTCTGCTGTGGGCCTCGTTTCCTACTTATCCCTTCTCCCCCAGGTGCTCTGGGTTCAGGACACAAGCTGCTGGCCTATTTAAAGTGGATACGGTGTGTGTCAGCGCAGAGCCCGGCCTTGAGAGCTGCCTCTACTGCCTGCTGCATGGCCTCTGTCCAGATGCCAGAACTAGGACCTGCCCCCAGGACTTATGGGCACAGAGTTTAGCAGGAGCTACAGTTCACCGTAGAGTGCCTGCAGCCCACGAGAGCATGACCTGAACATGGAACTTTTTAAACAGGTCTAAAGGAAGAGGACAGTGCCGCTGCAGGAGAGGGTGATGACACTAGGGAGCAGCAGGCACAGGTGTCTGTGGGCATTCCGATGCCAACTCCTTCCCCAGCAGGGGATGAGTAAATCCTACTCTCCTCTCGGAATGTTCAGGACAATATCCATTTCTCACCAATGTAATCGAAGTTGGTTATTTTGAGGCCTGTGGGTCAGGGCCATGAACTATGACCTGTATCAGGAAGGACAAGAGTAAAAATGGGCTGACCACAGCCAGTCTAGTCATCTGGACAATGTTGTGGCTGCACTCGCTTAGATGTAGGTGAGAATGAATTCAGCTTCTCCATTGATTACAATAGACGCCCCCACATCCATCACTGCCTCCTCCCAACCTCCACCCCTGACCAAAGTCAAGAACCCATATAACTCACTCCCCACTCAGAAAAATAAAAATGAACTCAATTCTTGAGAGTGACTGGAAATCACAGCTCAAAAGGTAGCATATGTGAGACATTTGTCATTGCTCGGGATTGAATCTGATTAAACAAGGGCAGACTGGGGCGAGATCAATCACTATCAGAGAATCACACACATGTCCCAGGTGGCCTTAATACTTCCGTTATGTATTTTCAAGGAAGCTGAGTCTGTTACTAGTGTTAGCACTCTGCTGAGGTTCTCCTCTGGGGATTTTAAAACAGGAAGGAGCTTCTTCTCTCCCTTTCGTGGTAGTTTTCCTATGCAGGTTAGATGCAGCCCTGCCTAAGGGAGAGAAATCAGCCAGCTGAGTCCCTGGCACATCTAGACTTGTGGGACATACACCTGACTTTATTTCTGCCCCAGTAACAGCTAAAAGTTGAATAGCACATTCCATTTCTTACCAGTCTGCATTGACAGAATTTGACAGAGATGGATGCTAAGAGGGAGCCATGAGATACTGCTGAAGCCTGATGGTGTAAAACCCTAGCCCCACCTGGGAGTGTCTGTGTCTGCTTGGGACTGGGAAAGCAGCGGAAGCTCTCTTGAGTCTGTCCTGTCATTTCTGCAGCTTTTGCAGTGTGGAGAACCATTTGTGTCATCTCTGTCAACACTGAGTTCTGGTAGCCTGTGTCCCAATGCTTTCCAGATGAAATGAATAGAATGTTCTCACCCACGAGAAGATTGTAGTCTATCTTAGGCCACACACAAAGCCAAAGGATGAGACCTAAGCAAAGCCTTTTGGAAATACCAATTCACTCCTGATGCTTGCAGCAAGTGGAGAGAAGAGATTGACAGAGTCCCCGCCGGAGGAAGAAGGGGAATGAATAGGGCAGAAAGAGTCCCCCAGCCACTTGGAGTGTTCACTGCACCTGGAAATGATCCAGAGTTGATGGCAGGTCCAAGACTTAGAAAAAGGCTGGTGTTCCCTAGCTATCTTGGGAGACAAGACCCTTGTCTTTGTGGTCCGTCTAAAGCTAACGGTATGCAATGTTTGGATCATATTCAGGAGGCTCGACCAGAGGCCACTTATTACTGTTTTGAAACATGAAATATGCTTTGAAAACTGGAAGACCACCGCAGAGAGCCAGGAGGTTGGCTCCCAGTCTCCAAAGCCGATTTGAAAGGAAATGTTACCCAACAGCAGCAAAGATCTATTTTGATAAAAGTAGCCTGAGTTGCTTTTCAAAGAGATGCTGATCTGCTTTTCAAAGAGATCCTGATCTTCAGCAGTGGGAAGCTGCCTGGAACCTGTGTTTGTCCAAACAAACCCACAGGCTCTTGTCCCTGGAGATGAAGACTGCGTCCCCCACCCCCACTTCCACCCCATCTGTCTCGCCTCATGGAGCGAGGGGAGGGACATGAAGTGTAGAAAACCCAGAACCCTGCTAAGTCCAACTATCCATTCCACAAATCTCTCCAAATAAAGAAAGAAAAATAAAGCTGGTGCCCACTGTAATTTAATACCAATGGTATAAATGATAAACAAAACAAGCTACAAAGGTGCTTGAAGCAAGTTGAGAGCCTGGGTCGGGCTGTCCTGACTCCAGAGGCACGGAAGGGAACATCTGAGAAGGGTCAGTCAGGATACTGGGCTGAGAATGGGAGTCCAGACAACCTCACCTTCACCCCAGGAAGGCTTGCCTCGCTCCACAGCACCAGGAGCCCCACCCAGGCAGGATACTGGGGTGCCTGACCTTTCCCTTCATCTTGTCCCGTATTAAAAGAGGAAAGGACCAGCTGTCTGCCTCACTTTTCAGGAGATAAGTGCTTGTGTGTCATGGCTGCCTCACCTTGCCGAGTTACTCAGCCATTCTCAGCCTCAGTTTCCACAGTTGTCGAAGTTGACATTAGCCTCCCTGCGGGACTGTGGGATGAAGGCAGCATGCACCACACACAGTGCTTGGCACACAATGAGTATGACTGATTATTTCACATTTGTCAGTCCCTTTGCTTCTTCCTTCTGTACATCACCCAACTGCTTTAAGATGAGCTCTTCTGTTTTCTTGGAGTGCATCCCTTACCCTACATGGATTGGTTGAGAAGTAGCGACACCCAGGCCACTCCTCATTGTCCATCAGTGGCTCTTGTAGCCAGCATGCATCTCTCTGGCTTTCTGTTTTCTATAAAGTGGATAGCTGCCTCTCGGAGGGTGTGAGAGGCAAAA